CTGACCGGAGTGCATTGGCGGCTGGCGCGCCGGCGCGAGCGGCGCGGCCGTCATCGACCAATTCAGCCTCGGTCCAATCCCTCATGTGCGAGTGCCTCACTGGTCGATGCGGGGCGAGCCGATGTATCCCCTCTCCCTACGTGATGTCGTCCGTCCCTGCGTGCGCCCTCTCCCTCCAAGATCCCATCTCCATGCTATCTGCTGCATGGTAGGTCGTAGCTCAATGCTCCGTTCGTATGTCCTCACTGGGAATCCCCTTCTCCCTTCTTTCCCCCGATTTGATTTCAACATAGACAGCGGATCATAAAGACTCCAAAAATAGTGCGCCGGCCAGTACGCTGTGTGTCCTGGTGGTCCACTGTGGCGTTGGTCTCAACACCGGCATGTGGTATTTTCTTCCTTCCTGATGTTCAATTCATAAGCATGACGTGGTGTTTCACAGCATGTTCACTTGCTCTGAAGAAATAGTTGCCTGCTCATTCTCTCTTTAGATGTTCTTCTTTGTTTTGTTACTTCTAAATATCGGTGCATGTGCTACTAAGAGATTATATGGCTGCTGCTCATTTAGTTAGTTCACATGGACTACCATTATCCATGCATTAAGGATGTACGATTGCTTAGTTTGTGTTTCTGTATCATTCATGCAACGGTACTGTTTTTTGTTGTATGCAGCAGTTTACTTTCATGAAGGCGCGAGGCGACTGTGACAAAGCCCTCCTATCATGATGGTTTGAGGTGAACGGCTCAATGATGCCAAAGAGATTAATATTGGATTAAACTTTCCCCCATAATCTCTGCTAGGAAAAAAATGTGCAGGGAACTTAGGTACTGCTATCTGCCTGATCTTCCATCTTTCACACCCGATCTTCTCTGGCTTTATCTCACAAATTCACAAGGGATGTCGTGCAGGTATCAGTTTCCATATTTTTGAGTGGCCAGGGAGCAAAATTTTCACCACAGATGACTATGCATTGGCTCCTCTGTGCTTCGCACTCTTCTTCAATGAAAAATATTTACTTCATTACCAGAATTAAGAGACTTTAATGACCATTGATATTAATATGTGACTGTGTTTATTCTAGGTATTGATGAAGATGGTACCTCGGAAGGATGAAGGTTAGCCTTGATGGCCAGGTGGTACCTCGGAAGGACACCTTTCGGTATTTGGGGTCAATGTTGCAGGAGGATGGGGGTATTGATGAAGATGTGAACCATCGAATCAAAGCCGGATGGATGAAGTGGCGCCAAGCTTCTGGCATTCTCTGTGACAAGAGAGTGTCACAAAAGCTAAAAGGCAAGTTCTACAGGACGGCGGTTCGACCCGCAATGTTGTATGGCGCGGAGTGTTGGCGGACTAAAAGGCGACATGTTCAACAGTTAGGTGTGGCGGAGATGCGTATGTTGAGATGGATGTGTGGCCACACGAGGAAGGATCGAGTCTGAATGATGACATACGAGATAGAGTTGGGGTAGCACCAATTGAGGAGAAGCTTGTCCAACATCGTTTGAGATGGTTTGGACATATTCAGCGCAGGCCTCCAGAAGCTCCAGTGCATAGCGGACGGCTAAAGCGTGCGGAGAATGTCAAGAGAGGGCGGGGTCGACCGAATTTGACATGGGAGGAGTCCGTTAAGAGAGACCTGAAGGATTGGAGTATCGACAAAGAGCTAGCTATGGACAGGGGTGCGTGGAAGCTTGCTATCCATGTACCAGAGCCATGAGTTGGTTGCGATATCTTATGGGTTTCACCTCTAGCCTACGCCAACTTGTTTGGGACTAAAGGCTTTGTTGTTATTTGTTGTTGTTTATTCTAGGTATGCTTTTTTCCGCCTCTCAACTCTATCTCAGTCCCGATCCATCTTTCCTTAATTTTTCTCTTGATTCTATACAGGTTAGGTCAATGAGGTTTACAGCAAGGTACAAAGCTCTGTGAGGACTCATCTTGTTGGGATGCAAAAGGGTGATGCTAAGTTGATGTTTCTTAATTAATCAAAAAATATGTCAGGACGGTTAGAACATGTGTTCTATCTATAGGTATTACTAGCAAACATGCCCGTGCGTTGCAACGGGAGACAAAAAAGTTACACGCCAGCCAAATAAGTATGACTCAATACCCCAAATTATGAGTGTTCTTTATTTTCACATGGTGGCTCACCATGTTTCCACTTATCTTTCTTCCCACACCCTCGTTGATGATGTACACGATATGCATGTGATCGCAATGCATTTGACGTGGTAAATCCCAAGGCAATGAGCTTGCCACTGCATGGCACGCACGCTAGAGATTGTTTAAAACTTTAAAAACAAATTTCATGGACCACAAACTACTCCTGGCGCCTAGACATAAAAAGACTTTCCAAAAACTACCCAAATCCTAGACATGAAAGACTTTTGAATCGACGAACATTTTTTCTAATCGAGAAACATTTGTTTTAAAATTTTGGGCATTTTTTAAATGCATGAACATTTGTTTTGTTCAGACGAACATTTTTTGAAATGCATGAATTGTTTTCGAATTCATGAACATTTGTTTTGTTCAGACGAACATTTTTTGAAATGCATGCATATTTTTTGAATTGATGAAAAATTTTTGAGTTAGCAAACCTTTTTTGTATCGATAAACTTTTTTTATAATTGGGGAACAAATTTTGAAAAATTGTGATTTTTTTATAATTTGCGAACAGTTTTGTGAATCACCAAAAAAATGAAAACTGCGGAAAATTTATGAGTTCTCACACATTTTTTGAATTCATAAACATTCTATGATTTCTCGAATATTTTTCTCAAAGCTTGCAACCTTTTGTAATTTGAAAATCTCGAATTAATTTAAAGAAGGAAAAACAAAAAACAGAAATGAGAAAAGAAAAAACGAAATGAAAACAGAATAGGGGCGTCCACGGGCCGGCCCATGAACGCGTATGTGGGAGGGAGGAGGTGCTTGACAAAAAGGTAGAGGAAATAGGACGACCCTGGGGATCGAACCCGGGTCTGCGCGGTGGAGAAGATATGCTTCAACCACTGAGCTGGTAGAGCGTCTGTGACATGCGCGGGGTATTTATTTTATAAACTCCTGTGCGCGACGATGACTTTGAAAAAATCGAATCGTTTTCTTGACTTATGAGTGGCACAGCGGGTAATTTATATATAGCAACTTTAAGGGTATTTTTTTTTTACGGACGACCAGAAGCACTATTTGCTTTATATAGGTATTACTTGGGAGATGGTCAGTTACTATAGGCTCTAAAGTTTATATATTTCGATGATGGGTCTACCATGCGTAGTTAAAACTTGCCTATCGACAAACCATCAGCTGCTGCAAATGACAGATGGGTATGACGGATGGGTATTGCAGATCATGGATCACGGGTATTTTGATTATATTATGATGATTCAGTAATTCTACTATTGGTCTAATAATCTTCAGCAAGGATACACTGACTCTCATTTCTTTTTGAGTTTTGTAGACATTGCTTCATCCAAATTACAACAAAAGATCAATTGCCGAGGTTGTACTAAACCACATATTTATCACTGGGCAGTAGTAGTATAGTCTCTTAATTATCCTTTTAAAAATAAATTTAATGTCTACCTATTATTAGAGAATTAGAAAGCATAGGCTCTTTGGAAGCTTTCTTGCCAAAAAAGAAGGCCCTTCAAAAGCTAATACATGTATATGCTCACATCATATGCTTGTTTTTCTTCCTTGAATTTTCAAATGCTTATGAATCATCTGCAAAATAGTGTAGCTTGTAACTCTCTGTTGAACTAAATACCAATCCAAGTCGGAGTGTAAGGAAGACAATATAGGTTTTGATCTAGCGAGAGGTCATGCAATGCTTCTCTATTCCCATTTCAGGCCAAATTTACCTCCAAAACACTGCATGGATTCTTTCACATATTGTCCACTTTATTTCTGTAACTTCTTGCAGTTTAATTACTTGCAATTTTTGTTCTCTATTAAGTAAGTTATTTGTCTTGTGGATTGTATGAATGATTTTCGCTAATACGTTGCACACATCTAAAACCATAGACTGTTTCAAGACACACCAGAAAAATATAGATCGATCTAGACATCAGAAACCAAAGATGGATCATTTATATAGATTTCCTGAAATATAAGAATAACGATGTATGCTTTTCTTTCTATGTGGAAACTATTATGATATCATTTATTGGCGGTGCACACATTCACAATTTTCTTCTTATAAAGAAATTCACATTTAGAACTTAGATTCAGCAATCATTTGACATGGCATGTAGTGTGTACTACGCTACTCACAAAAAGTGTAGCATCCATCGAGCGGCTTTGGCAGACTTTATCCGTACGTGGATGTTTAACTGATTCCTGAAGTATAACTCTTACGGTTTCCTGCTTATTATTGTTCAGGTTACTGCAATTAGTCCATTGATTGAAGGCTTAGTTGTTGCTTCTTGATCAACCCTGTCAACCTTTAGATGTGTTTTCAAGTTGTTCATAGTAATCTGATGTTCTGTAAGTTAAGGTGAGAGCTATTACGATCAAGTTATTTTTGACCTTTTCATTTGAAAGTAGCCAAAGCTACAAATGGGTATGTAGATGGTATACAGAACTTCCATGAAACAACTTTTGTCAGACTATTGTATCCTTTTCAATATATTGTGATTCAATTATGTTCATCTTTTGTCTCCTTGCGTTTATAGAAATTCCTATCATTTTATTGCCTAAATAGACGGGCGCAGCAACGCGCGCCAATCATGATCTAGTATAATTAGAATGAGCAAACTTAACCCAAATCCTGATCAACCATACAACATATTTGGAGTGCTAGCTAGCTGCAACATATTTTAATTGCTGCGTAGGCCCATTGGCATTGCAACCAAGACCCATCATTCCTTACCAACAACGTACTAGTTCTCTTCTCACGTCAAAAAAAAAAAAAAAGAGAAACAAACAACGCATTGGTCCAGTTCAAACTGAGCTTAAGAAGGCACCATGGGACACTTGTATGTTACGATCAGGATCACATCCTGTCAATGTGAACGTCGAGAGACACCTCCTTGGACGCCCCAGAACCAACCAGATACGTAGGCGGCACCCCCAAGAAAGACGGCAGCTCCATCAGAGCGACCTCGCCGGGCCTAGTGCTGCTCGTCACCGGCTTCATGTCCAACAGAATGCTGCCTTCTATGCTGCTCGGTGGTGGCGGACCATTTGCCCGAAGCTTGACCGCATACTGCGGCCATGATGACGCTCCAGCTCTGACGCACACCACAGAGACGACCCTGGCCACGCCGAGCGCGCCCATGACCAGGAGGAACACGCTGTCGTCCCCTTGACCATGGAGCAGACACCGCGGCTCCCGCTCCGACAGCCGGAGCTGGTGAACTTTGCCATAGTGGACCTTGTGCACTGGTATTGCATGCAGGGCACCCAGGTGGTTGAGGAGCGCTAACGGTGCACCGATGAAGCCACAGCCGGGCTCCATGCAGAAGCAGGGCGCGTGCTGGCATTTGCTCTGGTGGTCGTCGAGCTCGTTGTAGGGGACGTCGCTCCCGCAGCCATCGTGGCCGCACATGACCGTCAAGGACGAGACGACAGCGTCTATCATGGGGCAGCGGCTAAAGCCACCGCCGTGCTCGCACGTCTGGCACTGTTCGCCGGGGAGCTCGGCGAGGCATCTGCCGCAAGCTAAATGCCCGGCATTGCACTGCACAAAAATGTATCTGTTATCGGTCAGGCTGAATGGAACAAGAGATTGATAGAGTATTGTAGAAATAAAACTAACCTGGAAGACAGGGGGATTGACGGGGCAATTAAGCAAACTCATGTCCATCTTCAGGGTGACTTCTCCGGTTCGCTTCACTTGCCCATTGTTGGGCAGCTCCACCTTAGACTTATTGGCACTCTGATCGTCCTTCTCCATCATCGACGGTGAACCCCTGTTCCTTTGAACGGTGGCGTTCGGAGTAACCTGCATCGCATCCATAATCTGCAAAGAAATCATGGTCATGGAGGCAAACACATCACATCATGAACTGGAATCCACAATGACATAGAGATATTTCTTCTGCATAATTCAAAGAATACTGTCACGGAAGCGAAGTGAAAAGCATCAACGAACTTGTGCAGCGAAAATGTTGTACAGAATCATGGTTCAGCCGAATCTGCGCTCGACACCATTGATTTCTAGACACTATTCATGAGGATTCATGTATGGTTGATTAAAAAATACAGTTGGCATGCATGTCTATTCATGAGGATCCATGCATGATTGATTAAAAAATGCAGTTGGCATGCATGTCATAGATCCACATGTAGTAGGATGTTAAATCGTACGGTATAGACCAAAGGTTCGGCTGAACAATGGTCATGAATCACGTCTCTCACTTGTGCAGTATACGGTTTTGGAGAAGGCCGGGCAGACTGCAATTGCTCGCCGCTTGCTGGGAATATTGTGCATTCTATCGAGGAACCGGGCGCTGCAACTGTGAAAATTATATGAATACACGGTAGGATTTTTTCTGAATGATAGAGACTTGTACAAGAATAACAAAGTCATGAGAATACAATACAGAGTTTATACTTTATAGCATGTTCACATGCAGTGATACAGATGAATGTCGATCAGGAGAAGTCATGTCAATTAAGAGGTGAAAATGTTTATGCAAGTTTTAATTACCTGGCTATAGAAAATGGTTATGTACCTGCTGATTGACCTAACGTATCTAACACAACATGTACAGGCACAATGGCCGTGCTTGCTGTGTTAGGGGTTGTTGTCGCATTGCCATGCTCAACTGATACGGGACGATGCTTGTTATTATGATCGGCCAGACCATCAGCATTTGTATCAGAATCAGCACGGCTTCCACCTTCAACAGTGTTGCCATTTGGCATGCTATTAAGCACAGGAGCATAAACAGACTCATCTAGACGACGTACCTATTTGAAACCAAACACGCATAAAGTTATTATATAACTGCACTATCGAAACATATATAATATGCCACTTCAAAAAAATTACTTCTGCAAAAGTCGCTAAAATAAAATTCAGCATAGGTAACAAACTTGATCGGTCATTAGATTTATTTTTCAAACAAATGCTAGATCACCAATAAAATGGATGAACATGTGTTACAAGTCGAGCATGAGATTATACTAAAACGAGGTGTATGAACCATATAATTAATAACAAATAGTTTGTTTCAAACAAATAAGAGTGTCACAAGTTGTTTGCCGAATTTAGTGCAAAAGTAATTACCATCAAGCTACCCATTTGCTATGTTCCTTAGTGACAATGCTCAAGCGTGAAAAATCAATAAGCAGTGGTGTATACATTATTCTGCAAGCACTTCTAAACCTTCAGCAGAAAGCAAATGAACCGTAATGCCAACAAAAAAAAACTACACGCAATTTTGGTATTGTTTTCAATCCAAATTTTAAACCTTTGGCAGAACAACGGGTGCGATATACCATTGGAAAGCTATGGATTAGGCTAAATTTTTTTTCATGTAAAACACTCTTCGAAATTCCTTACGGTCTAAGAGCAGTTTCAAAAACGGTGCGATACCACACGAGTGGCAGCGAGCGTATTTTCATGAAAATTTTCAAACCACTCATCAAAACGATGCGAATGATATAATGTTGGAAAGATATCTTTTTTCATGTATAACACTTTCTCTAATTTATCACGGTTTAAGTGGTTTTGAATTTACCGAAATGCGGACACTGTTTTTGCGGGTCCACAAATCGACGAAGTGAACTGCATCAGACGGGCAACCGCACTAAATGTCAACAGAGAGGATTGCACACTATTTTTCTATCGTCTTCGCTACAATTTTTGGATGCAGTTCACATGGTCGGACACCAAGTGAACTTTATTCAACGACCAAGCGCACTGTAGGTGCTGATGCATTTGACTTATTCTGAAACACACGAAAACATAGAATAAGGGGTTTGAACCGTTGTACAAATTAGAGCGAGCTGCATATTTTTTTCGTCTTAAGGGGTTTTTGAATAGAATAAGTTCTTAAGGATGTTTGTGGGATAGACCCACACACTATATGAAAAAGTAGCAACATGTAAAGCAGATGTGGAAACTAAAGAGATTTGGAAACAAACTAGACATCCAGAGGGATTTAAAAAGTAAATTGAAACACTTGCGATGGTGGGATTCCAGCATTGTATTCTACCTTCCTCTTCCTAGCTGATCTTCTTGGTAGGTTATCACCATCCATGGCGATCCACCGCTTACTGCAGATTACAACCCCACTAATCAGTTGCAACACACCAAAAACTCGAGTAGTGAGGGCGTATGGTAGCGATTGGCAACGAAAGAAGCGGGAATTCATACGTACCAGTTAAGAGAAGGCTAGCGGCGGCTGCTGGGTGCCGCGGGCAAACAAGTGGCGGCGCGTGGATGGGCGACGGCGGCGTAGAATTTGAGGGGGATGTCTCGCTCCTCTCTAGGGTTTGCCCCAAATGGAAGGGGGTGACCTGCCTATATATAGGAAGAGGGGTTATTGGGCTATTTGGGCTAGAATTTAGGGGAGTTTAGGGTGGGGTGTTGGGCTGAAAGGAGAGAGGGAAAATAGCAGCCCACTTTGATAGTTTCATTGCAAACTTTATTTATTTGTTTGTCTTACTATCGTGCCTCCATATTAATCCGTTCGAGTATCAAGCGAACTCTGGTTGACAAATATTTTTTAACAGGTTTAAAAAAAATGAAGTTTAAAAAGGGGAAAACAGATTGATGAAAATAGTGAAGAAAAAATAGATAAGAAAAATGCTTAGGCCTTGGCCCAACTAGGCGGCGGCATTGCTCCTGCCGGGTGCCTGTTGAGCCGGCCCAAGTGCTCGCGGATTTGAGAAAAGTTCATCAATTTTGAAAAAAAAATCACATATTTGAACATTTTCACAGATTTTCAAAACTACAGATTTTACAAACCGACAATGCGTACATTTATTATCTATTTTGTAACAATGGTCTGGCTGAAAGTACGACTCCTTTTCGTGTTGTCAATATTTGATGTGGGCGATAAATCAAGAAAACGAATCTCCCGCTGCAACGCACGGCCGTGTTTGCTAGTATATTCAACAAACATACACCACTTCAATTTGTTTCGAATAAGAATCCAATGATATACACTTTGTGGCGTGTAATTTGTATTTTATTAGCAAACTTTGACGTGGCAGTACCTTTTCGACACTTGAATCATGCATGCACGCCACCGCGCACACAACCAAACATGGTCGAGCTCCTCATCGATCGATCACGTGCATACTACGTGGCCAGGGGCAAACAGTGTCTTCCCGGCCGTCTCCTCGGTCGTCGGGTCGGGTGAAGACGAAGACGGGGGTAGTCGGCGCGCGGCGACGTGGCAATTCAACGACCATGGAAGAATTCGGCGCGACCGCTGCTGCTGTAGCGAGCTGGCCTTCTTGGGGTACGTGCCGTGCGTGCAGCTGGTGCATGCGGCCGGTGGAACGTACCTTCGTGTTCCCCGTCCACGTGCATCATCCCGCTGGCCCGCCACTTGCATGTTGCATGCCAGGAAGATCAATCAGCCGCGCGCGCGTATATATATACATTACCTCGCTGCGATGAACCTCAGATTCAAGGTTCATATCGTTGCCACTTTCAGGAGAGTCTGTCGAGGTTCATGCATGGCGCCCATGGAGAAAATCGATGTCCGGATGAACGGCGAGCCGAGGTGCGCTCCGTCGCCGGAAGGACACGCTTTCTCGGCTGATGTCGGCGGCGGTATGACGATCAAGACACCTTTCTCTGTGTCGTTGAGCGTACCGGCCTCGCCGTCGAGTGACGCGAAGCCCGATGTCCACCACCCCGCCGTGCCGCTGAAGCAGGCTCGTCAACAGTCGCTGCCGTCCCCGACAGTAAGAGGCAGCGCCGCCGAGGTGCCGGCCATTCGGCGGAGCGACACCGCGCGGAAGCGGGACCGGCGATTCGACCGCTTGAGGACCTTCTCCGGCCGCCTCGACCGCCAGCTCTCCACCCTCCGCGGCCTGTCGCAGGAACTGCCGGCTGCTGACCTCGAGCGCGGCAGCGCCAAGATCTCCGAGGAGGACACCGACGAGGATCACGACGTCCCCACCGCCGGCCGCTACTTCGACGCCCTCGAAGGCGCCGAGCTCGACACCCTTCGCGTATGTCGCATTTTACCTTTTCCTGCAAGCAAAAACCAGAGGTAGTTCGCGTTGGTTTGTTTCTAACAGCAGGCTGAATGTGTGCAGTCGACAGAGGTGGCGGTGCTGCCCAAGGACGAGCTGTGGCCTTTCTTGCTTCGGTTCCCCATCAGCGCGTTCGGGATGTGCCTCGGCGTCAGTAGCCAGGCGATGCTATGGAAGACGCTCGAGTCAGAGCCCTCCATGGCGTTCCTCCGCGTGCGCCCCGCCGCCAACCATGCCCTCTGGTGGGTCTCTGTTGCCCTCACCGCCGTCGTCTCCATCGTCTACCTCCTCAAGATCGTCTTCTACTTCGAGGCCGTCCGTCGCGAGTTTCACCATCCTGTCCGCGTCAACTTCTTCTTCGCTCCTTGGGTCGCCTGCCTCTTCCTTGTCAAGGGAGTGCCCCTCCCAGAGTGGGAGATCCATCATGTCTTCTGGTACCTTCTCATGACGCCCATCCTATGCCTCGACCTCAAGATCTATGGTCAGTGGATGTTCAGCGGCGAGCGGCGCCTCTCGAAGGTAGCCAACCCATCCAACCACCTCGCCGTTGTTGGCAACTTTGTTGGTGCGCTACTCGGCGCCAGGATGGGCCTCCGGGAGCTGCCCATCTTCTTCTTTGCTGTCGGGTTGGCCCACTATGCGGTGCTCTTTGTCACGCTCTACCAACGGCTCCCCACCAACGTGCAGCTCCCCAAGGAGCTTCACCCGGTCTTCTTTCTCTTCGTTGCCGCACCTAGTGTCGCGTCCATGGCATGGGCGAGGATCTCCGGCGAGTTCAACAATGGCGCCAAGCTCCTATACTTCGTATCGCTCTTCCTCTACGTATCGTTGGTGATGCGGGTCAACCTATTCCGGGTGTTAAGGTTCTCGTTGGCTTGGTGGGCCTACACGTTCCCAATGACAAGTGTTGCCCTAGCAACGGTGTTGTATTCGTCAGAGGTGAACAACATGTTGACACAGATGGTTGCAGTCGGGCTATCAGGAATTGCCGTTGTCACTGTCATCGGTGTGTTGGCCACCACCGTGTACCATGCCTTTGTGTGTGGGGACCTGTTCCCCAACGACGTTTCCATCGCCATCACGCAGAAGAGGCCCAAGTTTAGCAACATACTTGCGCACCTCCACTTGCCCAGTCCGGCGTGAAGTAGCTTATCCTCCCCATCCCAATTTCATTTCCAAGCACAACATCTACTTTGATGAGTCTATCTCCAGTGGTGCATGGGCATGGAAGAGCAGAGTGTTAGATGGTCGGTGAACAACAGGTTGCATGCTGTGAATGCACACAAGAGCTTATATTGATTAGTACCAACTTATTTGTACAAAGTTCCTTTTCTTTGGGTTTTTTGTATTCTTTTCCCATCATTTGTCAACTGGCTACACGGTGTGGCAGGCTGGCAGAGATATCCTTGAGCAATTTGCATTGCCATGGTACGACATATAATTTGCGTCGCTCTTGTACGGGCGACTCGGGCGGAAGGAACCTAGCACCGTCGTCCGCCAAAAGACCATCCCGCCTCTCCGCCGCCTCGGGAGGAAGCTGCAGGGCGAAGCCCCTGTAGTCGATGGTGGCGGCGGGGACCTTGCTCGCGTCATAGTGGTGTCCTCGGGCACGGCGGAGTCTCCTTGGTGATGGCGGCGGCGATGTTTTGGGTGGTAGGTCGGGGCGGTGGCCCGCCTCCTTGTCTACGCGTCGTACTGCTGCCGCTCGAGCGCGGCGCTATTGTGCGGAGCGGGCCGGCGCGGCGTGACGGCGGGCTGGCTGATGCCGTTTTCGTCCAATCTGGCGCCTGGAGCCGCGGGATCGATGTGAGCAGCGCGGGACGGTGTCCTACGCTGTGGTGGTGATGGAGTAGGCTTGGTGGAGGCAACGGTGTGGTGGTGGTGCGTGTGCTCTTATCACATCACGGCAACATTCTGCTTGATCGGTTTCCTCGATCTGGCCGTCAACATGTTCCGGAACTACTGTTGGAGATCTTGCCGAAGGATGTCTAGATCGGATAAAATCCGGTCGTGCGTGTTCATATCATCCTACGTGGCTCCAGGAGGACGTGGCGCGAAGCTCTGTCATTTGTTAACACTGTGGGACATGTCGCTGTCTCGATTTCCATGGCACAGACAGCGGCGGAGAAAGTCTTGATGGTTGAGCATGGAGATTGGCAAGGCGGAGGGGGCCTTGAAGGCGGTGGAGTCAGTCAGGTGTATGATAAATTTCAATACCAACAGCGTCAAGTGGGGGCCACAACATTGAAGGATTTCATTTTCGATGGTGCTCCTCGGATGGCGAGTCATGACTTTCAAGATGAAGACCTAAGATCTAGCCTTTATTGGTTGTGCCTGGCAATTACCTTGTTGAAGGTATTTTTTTAGAGCTCCGTCTTTCTCCGGGGTGAGAACCTATGATCTTGGATCGGGCGACGACGGCGCTTGTGCACCGTTTCTTTCTAAAAGGCGTCACTTTTGGTGACCTTTTATGTTTTTCGGGTATTGTCTTTGGTGGTGGTTTGAGCGTTGTTGCTGAAAGGAGTTAATCACTGTTGCGAGGTCTTTGCCTTTTTCATTCCTTTTTTGTTTTCTTTTTGGGTTGTGTGCATCCCGGATGTCTTTGTGACTTCTTGTTGATGCAGAGGCTATGTGTAATACGTATCTTTGTGATATTAATGTATTCCCCTTTAAAAAAAATATAATTGCAATAATTAACATTTGTGTTTGCAAATTGAGTGATTTCTTGTGAAGTTTAAGTAAGTACTGGTCACCTTTCTATGACTCTATTATCATCTCCAGTAATTCCATATATAACCTAGGAACTGAAATGGCACGAGGCATTTATATTTAACTATTTTTTTAAACCATGCAAGAGGGTGTTCCCAAAATTTCATGTCGATAGGAAAAAGAAAGAAATACAAAGTGCGTGGCCTGATTTTTTTTTAATATGGAAACAAGGCCAAAGACCTAAAGAGAACAAACAATGAGAAAATAAGTAAAGACAACTAAGCGGGCCCTGCACCAGGTGAAAGAGAGCATCACCACCAGCATATCCACCCACTGAAGAGAAGTGAGTGGTTTCGTCGAAGATGCCTTCAAAAAGGAAAATATTGTGCCCATGGGTCAGGATCCTCTGCAGTACTATACAATGCTGTAGGGTCACTGTCGTGTGGACCCGGCCCCACATATCATTCGCACTACAACACCGTACATTACAGCAGAGGATCTCAACCCTGTGCCCATAGGCACCGTTGCCACCCCTTGTTCAAGACTAAGCTTTCGCCCAGTGTCACGGACGTCCACGTAGCTGAAACAAAGTAAAAGGGTCTGGCCACGCCATCTTCAAATTCAAGAGCCTCCATAAATTGATGTGTCACCTTCAAATTCAAGAGCCTCGTGTGAAACTTATCAACCAAACAAACTTATGAGAACTTTTCAACCAACCTGAACCTGTCCATGGGGCAAGAGGCCGACTTATTTTGGCTCTATGCGCCATGTTAATTATTGCCAGGCGCCAAAACTGATGGACCCAAACATACGGAGATATTTACGGGACAATGGTAGCGCACAGATTCAGATTCCATCTCGAATTTTATGGGGGAGCAATCCGAAAATGGAGAAGCAGCCAATTGCCGTGCAGTAGGCACGATGGCTTGGTCGGCAGGGCGCCAGGTGGCACCAGGATAGGATACTGCTCTCGCTGGCCACGTCGGCCAAGGCGCACAGCAAAACCCTCGAAGGAGAGAGGGAGAGGCCAGAGAGAGAAGCAGAGCAGAGCAATGGAGGGCGGCATGGACGCGAGCTTGGACTTCCTGGAGCTGGAGGCCCATCTGGTGTTCGATCTCGGCGACGCCGATAGGTACGCACGTGATGAGATGAGATGAACACGGTGGTTCATGAAATCACGACCGCTCTGCTCCTCAATCTTGCATTGCTGACGACGCTGTTTCTCTCGCTGCCCCTGCCTAGCAAACGTTGGATGAGCCTGGCTGACTGCTGCAGCTCGTACCTGCCGGCCGAGGACTCGCTCTCCGGCCTCGACTCCTCCTGCTACAACGACCCCACCAGCTCGCCGGACGGGGCGTCGACCAGGGCGAGCAAGAACATCGTCGAGGAGAGGGACCGGCGCAGGCGGCTCAACGAGAAGCTCTACGCCATCCGCGGCGTCGTCCCAAACATCACCAAGGTTAGTTTGCTCCACACATCGGTACCACGTGAAGAGGACTTGCGTCGTCTACTTCATACTCGATCCGTCCAAAATAAGTGACTCAATTTGTACTTAATTTGTGGGGCGTTAGATGGACAAGGCGTCCATCATCCAGGACGCCGTCGCATACATCGAGGAGCTGCAGGAGCAGGAGCGCCGGATCCTCGCCGAGGTGTCCGACCTCGAGGCCGGTGGCTGCACCGCCGTGGTGGTCAAGTCGGAGGCCTCCACCGGGAGCGAGGGGGTGGAGGACGCCGGCGTTGGCTTCTCGACGCGGAAGAAGATGAGGAGGACTGCTTCCTCCTCCTCCATCAACGACACCGTCACTTCCCCTGCCACGCATCCGATCCTCCTTGAGGTAAATTTTGCTTAGTCTGCAAAAACATACTGATCGAGAAGTCCAAATGTAAATAAAATGATCGAGAGGTCCAAATGTAAATCTAGTGAGAATATTTCTGACGAAAAGAATAAAAAACCTTGTGTAACAACTAAAATGTTAGCAAAGAGAAATATGTTGTTAATTATATCCAAACATTTTGTAGACAACGAAAAGCTTCCAAGATAACATGGCAAATGTGAAACATTTTGGGGCAACTCTATGAAACAAGACTGAGGATGTCAAAACAAACCATTATTGAATAACCGCGTGGTTTATCATTTCTGCAGCTGGAGGTGAGGCCTATAGCGGAGAAGCTGGCGGTGGTGAGCATGAGGCACGACAATGCGCAGAACATCATGGCGAAGATGTACAAGGCACTCGATTCACTCTGTCTCAAGGTCATCACCTCAAGTGTGACCGTCGTGGACGGCCGCACAGTCCACACCATGTTCATCGAGGTAATCACATCCGTGTTTTGCTGCATTTGTTCTCCAATTAATTTCTCCTCTAGATCTCCTCCTGATTTCATGTACGAAAAGCTTGCTCCCATCTCTTTCGCTCGGTCGCTCTCGAATTCTTTCAGTAATGTCACATGAATGACATCATAAGGGATGGCACTCTTGGTTATGGGAGTTCGTAAATTTATGAGTTTTGTTTTACTTCACAAGGGAACCAAGTCTTTATTTGGCTTCAAAGGAAAATTACGGCAATTATAGTGGAGAAACACAATTCATACAGAAATTTTCTCTTCAGTCCACTTGAAACGCAGGATAATGAAAGACCCGAAAGAAACAATGGGCACTGATAGAGAATCATTCACCATTTGAATCTTCACAAGTTCCCCACATCACCGACACCTCATCAGTCGGTTAGAGGCATGGGCACCACTTATCAATGCTTGGTGTTCATTTCTTATATGTTCTTTGTTAGGTTTGTGTGGTTGAGATGGTGTCATGCGGAACATAGATATTTTGGCTCCATCACTTCCCTGGCATTGTTATCATGGTCTAGGTCTACCATATAGAGCCAATGGTTCTCATTAGTAGTCGCTTCATACTTTTGATATTCTTCCTCCTCAATGCCGACTAGGCATCAGTTTGACAAGTTTTCCTTGTGAGATGTGCGACCCGTACATGGCTCATTAAATAGAAATCTATTCTTGAGGTGTGCGGCTCTTAAGTCTCTTTAAACCTCATGAGGTTGGCTCTTTAGACCTTATGAAGTTAGTCCAGCTTGTATGGAATTTGTAACTTCATCAGCAGGTACACGGGGAAACATCAAGATGGGATCTAAAGATGTCGGCTTCGAAGGACCTTGACATGATCTTTGGTCTTGTTGTTGGTGTTCATTTCAGGTCTTTCGATCTAGTGGACTTTGTTTCATGAATTAATAGAGCCGTACCGCTGTTCTGAAAAAGGGATTACCAACAAACTTATCGCATAACATATTTTTCCCAGTTACGTTGATCAATGATCGTGTTGCCAGTTCATATGACTATGTATTTTTTTAGTCACACTTCTTTCATACGACTCATTAGATATACGTTGGCTTGACTTAAGCTTGTGAACACATGGATTACACATATGCATTTGGTAGCATGCACATATTTTCATTATATTTTCTGTCAATATCAGCAGCCATTTATATTCTTTGAAAATCTAGTTATTATATTTTTCAGACGGAAGAAATGGATAGTGTTGAGACGATCAAGGAGATGGTACAGGCTGCACTCAGCCATCTCGATTTCTCGATGTGAGAAGACCCACCGAAGTCCATGAGTCACTGATGAAGATTAAGTGTCTCAAAGAATGTGTAATGGGCACCCCAACTACCGATGCTCCATCATTCTCACTACATCATGGAGGAGAGCCGTGGTTTGGTCCATTCCGGTAATACAGCATTCTAATAAAAGTGACTACAATTGCAATAACTTATATGGCCCAAAAAATAGTAATTGTGCCTAGAATTTATGTAAGCTCGTAGTATTAGTACTCCCTCCCTTTGGATTTGTAAGTGCATCTCCATACATAATTATAGAACTTCAGTTCAGCTTACATCTTTGTGCACCGCAACTACTGGTATGAAGTCCGCACTTTAACTTTACCATGTTCGGCACTGCAGATTCTTTTTACATATTGATCAGGGTAAAAGGTAATATAATCTCGAAAGGCGATGGTGTGACCCTCGTTATCACGATCACAGTGAGTTGCAACTTGCAGGTCCAGGTAGAGTATCAAGAGTGGCTCCATGTATATTGGAACAGCCACACACTTCCGCGATAGCGGGAGCTCGCCATCGATGACCTCCGCCTTGTTCTCTTCTCCACAAGAAAAGAGCACGACACTCTCGCCGTCGTAGAGTTCGTGGTGCGCGGTGATCTCGCCATAGACATGGTAGACGGTGCCGGTCCCAGTGGCACCAGGAGGTGCGAGATCGAGGTTGACGTACACGTTGGCCTGTATAGCCTTGTGCAGCGCCATGAAGGTCATGTCTATCTTGCGGCCGTGTCTTGTGGAGATGGTGCGGGTGATGACTTTGTTGCACGCGTACGGGTTCACCGTGAACGAGAAGTTTCCATTGTAGTGATCATCGGCTTCGCCGTTGTCCCCCGGGATCTTGATTTTGATCCAGAAGGTGTCCGTCAGGGCGCTGCTCGACTCGAGTATCAGATTATTCTGTGGATCGATGGTGTGTCCTCTCTGCGATGACCAGAAGTGGCCACCAAAGCCGTCGGTGGCGGCGAAGGAACCCGTGAAGCGGAAGCGAGGACGCACGATGAAGAGCTCCACCCGGTACTTAGAAAAGGAGTAGGCTAAGTTCAGGTTTTTGCTGTCTCCGTTGTAGCAGATCATGTGACTCGGTGGTGGATAGTCCCTCTCGTCGTAGCCGTCGTCCTCGCTGATGTAGTCGGCCATGTCCTGCGGTCTGTAGAACCCCCCATTGTCGTCATCATCATACTCGCTCCTCCTGCGGTCGTGGCCGTCATCATCATCGCCGCTGCCGCTCACGATGATGCCATCATTGCCGATGCCATGGAGCCCGCTGCCAACGTTGTCTCCCCCGACGCCGTCACCACCGATGCCATGGGAGCCATCGCCGGCATTGTCATCAACCTCTTTCTGGTTGTACTCGGCAGCAGATTCTTTCTCTGCCGTTCCTGTTCCTATAGCGGGCTCAGTGGTGCATGCCTGCAGGTCGCACGAGACGGCCCTCGAGGATGGCCTTTCCGGCGGCCCTCCGGCGGCAGCCATACCGCTCACGCCCTTGCCAAGATTGCCGGCGGTAATGAAAACCTAGAGCGATCGATCTGGTTGATTAACTTCGGTCTCCTGAGAGGCTCAGACAGACCTAATTTATCCATGCCATCCATCAAACCTGGGCCGGGCCTGGTTCTGTGCACAGTTCCTGGCCCAGTCTAGGAGGAGACAGGAACCTGGACCGAAACTGGTTCGGCGCACACTATTAACTTCCGTGGGCCAAGACCACCAATCCGAAGGGAAAAAACAAAGAGGGTACAGCGAGAACGGCGGCGGCGGCGCCACACTTGCCGGCGATGTACGCGGAAACGGAGCCCGGGGCCGCCGCGGAGCGCACGGCGTTCCGGCGGGCCGAGAAGCAGTACAAGCTCTACAAGCCGCCCAGTCGCAAGGGCAGGTCCAACTCCAGGTCTCTCTCTCTCTCTCTCTCTCTCTCTCTCTCTCTCTCTCTCTCTCCCTTGGCCCTCCGCCATCTCCACGCGGGAACAGCAGAGCAGAGCCCTGACTTTTCGAGCGCTGCAGGGGCAAGCCAGCCGGCGGTGGCGGCGGCGGGGACCTGTCCGCGGTGGTCGACTTCCACGCGCTGCTTGCTGCCGGAGGAGGCGAGCTGCCCGCCGGGATCCGGAGGTGCGACCGCGCCGGCTTCCACCTGCCCGTCTTCTGCTTCCTCGACCGGCCAGGTAACTCCACAATTCTCCCAATATTGCTCTGCTTTCGATACTTATTAGGATTATTCATGATCCAGTTTGGATTTTTGTTCTTACAATTTACCAAGTCAGGACATTGCATTTAAACAGCAGTAACTTGCAAAATTACTTGCTGCTTCTAGTTTTGGGTCATCAAATTATTTCTTAACTGTTTATTCCAGTGCTTGTGCAATTTTCACATCAGTGCTAACTTTGTTTCACATCATTTAACTGTTTCTCTAGACGCATGTGCTTCAAGGATCTTAGGTTCCATAACACCTGCAAATACCAGCGCCGAGGCCCGTAGGAATTTCCCTTGACCCAACGCCCATTCCACCTTTGTTTCACGACTTTGCCACAACGCCACCTGTATTAAGCTTGGGGAAACCCTATGGTGGTGACAAACCCAGTACCACATGAATGCCTAGTAGTGACGGGCGTAAAAAGCCCATCAGTGACGGACAAGACTCTCGGGGGCGCCCGGAATTGCTAACATGGCATCCGTGGCGGGCGCTCGCCCGTCACTGGTAGTGCACCAGCAGTGGCGGGTGCCTATCAGTGCCCGCCACAGAAATTTGATGTAGCTTGAACAAAATGGAAGATATCATCGGTAAATAAAAGCACATCCTGCTTATTAACATCTCGGAAATATTCTACCTAATAAAGCAGTGCTAACTTTGTCCCAAACATGAGCGGCAGACGGCAGAGAATGTCAAATTTTCATATGGAACTCGTGATTTCCCTTAACCCCTCCTATGTGGCATATGCTATGCCTGAACTATTATGTCAGCAAGTTCCTCACCATGAGTATATCTGTATATGTCTATCCAAAAAGGAGTACGAATGGCATCATAACTTTCGAGTAATTCGGGTTTTGCTTGCCTATTTATGTCAATATTTCAGCCTCCAACACTTGATCGTCATACCTAATACCCATCAATCATTCTAATCTCATTATACTACTGTTCATTTGTGAAATAGTACTCATACCCTTCGCATAACTCTGTAGGATTCTATTTCATCCCTGGTGCTCTATCTACCGAGGAACAGTGCTATTGGATCAGGGAAAGCTTGAAAACATTCCCACAGCCTCCTAATAGAACCAACTTGACTGCTACATACGGTCCAATTTCTGACTTGCTCATTGCTGCTAAAAACCAAAAGATTTTGGTTGAAGTGGAAAGTTCCAGTGGCAAACCAAGAGATGAGCAGAATAATGTTGGGGAAAATGCACATCCGGGTAAATTCAATTTTGTGGATGGCTCAGAGATCCAAAAGGGGGAAAGACCTAAGTCGACCACGGCAGCTGCTCTTGTGCGCAAGCTCCGGTGGAGCACCCTTGGTTTGCAATTTGATTGGTCAAAAGTATGTATGTATCCTTTTTATTAAATGTTGGATGTGTCTTTATTTTCATTTTTCTTGAATTTAATTCTTTTAACTTGTGGTGGTATTAAAATTTGGTGGTACTTTACATATGAATATGAACAAACCAGCAGGCATATTTTTCTGCAATTTTTTCTGCAATTGTGACAAACAAGCCCAATTCATTATAATTATAGTGTTATTATGACGAATTCATAATTCCATATTACTCCCTCCGTCCCATAATATAATAACGTTTTTGAAACAACACTAGTGTCAAAAACGTTCTTATATTATGGGAGAGGGAGTAGTACTTAAGGAGCTTTGTTTGATTATGATAGTCCTTGCAAAGCTATTTTTAAGCATGATGATCTCTGGAAACATTATATGCAACTAATCCCTGTGTGCATACATCACGCGCTAATATCATAATGTAATTTATTATCATACTCGTCCATGAAACTTGATAGCTGCAATCTTTTGTGCAGTGCTTGCACTTAATTAAAATCATATACTTATTGCACTGTAAGATACGCTTTTGGTTGCAACTGCATATTAACCATTTCCTGTTTCTGTCAGCGTAACTATGATGTATCGCTTCCACATAACAAGATTCCAGACGACCTTGCTGCTCTAGCAAAAAAGATGGCTGTTCCAGCAATGCCTTTTGGAGAAGGATTTGCTGCAGAAGCCGCCATAGTGAACTATTATGGTCCAAGTATGTAGCTTGTCACACACTGAATGGCCTAGTAGATAGATGCACCTTGGCAAATTGCCTCAAAGTTTCATGCTAGTCTCTCTGTCTGTACTGAAAAAATATGCTTTGACTTATGTAGGTGACATGCTTGGTGGGCATGTTGATGACATGGAAGCAGATTGGACAAAACCTATTGTAAGCATAAGGTACTACGTCTCAGTTGCTTTCTTGTACGATTATCTTAATCTGAATGCAGTGTCTTTAACATTTATTGGTTTTCTTAGTTTGGGTTGCAAGTGCATTTTTCTTCTTGGAGGGAAGACGAGGGATGAAGCTCCAACACCAATGTTCCTGCGAAGTGGTGATATTGTATTGATGGCTGGGGAAGCCCGAGAAAGATTCCATGGTAGTTTATTTATTTTAAATGAAAAAAATTCTGGCTTAATAAGAAAGTTAACTGAAAAATACCATGTATCACTAGCTTTCTAGAATAACTTATGGTCTCTATTCTACAGGTGTTCCACGGATCTTCACAGAGGGTGACCAGCAAGATATCTCTGGGCTGGTATCAGAACTATCTGATGATGATGACCGCTTTATCTTGGATTACATTCATAATTCAAGGATAAATATTAACATAAGACAAGTGTACTGAAGCTACTTTAGTTATTACTGAAAGTTTGCACACCTGCCGCCTCCCAGGGGACCACAGTAGATGTGCAATTTGTTTTTATTAACTGCATCTGGAGTTTGTTCTGAAATGTTGCTGGAAGATGAGGTAACTTATTGACCAGGAGAAGCAATCATGTTCCTTCAAAGGGTAGGCCTCCAATAGACAGGGCATTTTTGATAATTTCATACCCTCAGCGAGACCTCAGTTATCATAAAAAGAATCCTGCTAATGCGACAGATTGTAAATCACTTAATGGCTTAATGCCTGATGTATGAGAAGTTGTTCATCTTGTGTACTCTTTTCCAGAAAATTTACTTGCCAAGATCTCCGTCTGTTGATTCTTTGAACAAAAACGTACCTTCTGCTGTGCAGATGGACAAGCTAAAATGGTCAGATGTGTTCATATTTTTCAGCCTGTAATACATTGAATACAGTGTCCTATCAAAGATAGAAATGTCTGTATCATGTTTGGGCACAATTCAAAGTCATGGAGAACAGGAGAAGTCAGCACTTTGAAAATGTAATCTTCTTGTGTTGGCCCTTAGTATTACCATAGATCATTCTGTCAATATTCAGTCGTCTCCTTAACTGCCTTCCTTTTCGTCCCTTTGTCGATCGATAATGGCAACTCATTGTCTCCATGGAAAATAAGAAAGAAAATGTATTTGCTCAAACTGGATGTTTTGACACGGTTGTCGGTCCAAATCACACTAGTAAAGATGTTTCATCAAGGCTAATTATATGTATTTGGGGTGAAGTGAATATATAGCAAGAAGCTGTGTACACCATTTCTAGCCTTTCTGGTGGCAAAATGCAGATAATATTAAGTAGAACACCTGTAGTCTTTTCACTTAGCAAAGTGCAGATTACATGAAGTAAAGCTGTATGGCTATAGTAGAGGAAGAAGACTGGATGGGATGTAAATCTCTCATCTCGTCAAACATGTGAACTATTTCTCAACAATCTCTTGGATCTGCTCCGGAGTCAAGATTGACGCACTGGTATCAAAATCAGCGCTCTCCAACTGCTTGCGCAACTGCATTGACAATAAGGTCAAGGTAAGTGTTATGCATTGCTTCTTCTGCTCATAAGCAGTTACTAAAACAAAAGTCTGGTTGTGTATGTTTTACTGGAAGGGGACAAGCATAGAGAACGTACAGTCTCAAGTATGACAGATTGGCTCTCGGGGCTGTATTTTCTAATTTGAACCAACATCTCCAGTTGCTGCAACAGCAATTAAAAGGATCTAATTACCATCTTCAATACAGTTAAGATGGATGTTTCGAAAAAGGCACTATAAAAACATCTTTGCCTCACCTGTTGTTGCAATTCCTGTTGAGTGTGCATTTTCTCGGCAAACTCTAGAGGCTCAAGCTCGGCCTCATCAATAGCCATCTCTTCTCTATCAAATTAAATGGGGAAATAATCAGAACATAGCTTCTAGACAATAGTTCAGGTCAAGTTTGTAAACCACGAAATATTCTTGCCAGAGAGCAGGTTGTGGCTGTATATTCATTTTACTTGTTCTGTTTTATGGCTGGCGCATTAATAACTGATACAGCTCTTTTCCTTGAAA